ATAAGAATCATTGATTTACCAAATCAATCCCCATATATTTAATTAGTCTCTTTTGATCACTAAATTAATTCCAAATTAATTCTTGATCAATACTAATTAAATAATATGATTTCATATTAATATATTAGAACTTATAATATATTAATAAATCATAAATAACCTCTTCTCAAAAGTCCGTCCTATCAAATTGTCCTGGTGATATGCAACCCAAATGGACCATGCTACTCTCGGGTCAAGTACATACCAATTATAGTTATGGGCTTAGACACCTAATCCAACACCCTCGCAATTCCATTTCCTTTCTTAAGTGCTTAATGGTCTTATCACTTGAGCTTATACTTTAGATCCAAGGTCCAAATGCACCCTACAGTCATAAAGTCTCCAACTTTATGACTTTACACGTCCAAAAGTTCTTAATACAAGGTCTTCACCCATTAAGACCCTTTTTCCAAATGCATGAGACACACCTGGCCATTGGTACCTCATTTTTATGACTACGAACCCTTCCTAGGGTCTAGAAGGACAACTAAAAACATCCAAAATCGAACATGCACAAAAAAGGGACTTTTGGGACAAAAAGAGCACCATAAAGCTACCAAGATGAGATCCAAACTAATCAAGCATAAAGGTGGCAACTTTTTACCTTCTGGAGCTTCTAAATGAAGTGATGATCCAAGATCTACTAGCTTGCTTCAATCTCTAATGACCATAGGGATGAGCGTGGGACGGAACCGGTACCGTCCCGTTCCGTTCCCGATTTCCCGAAAACCGAATTCGATCAAAAGTCAATCCCGAGTACCGAACCGAATTAACATCACCGGTACCGGGAATGGTACCGGTTTTCGGTACTAGTACCGGTACCGGCGGTACCGATTCCCGAATTTCATGTATTTGGAGTACCGAGTACCGTACCGTATTTTTTAATTCGGTACGGTTCGGTACCGGTTCCGGTACGGTACCGGTACGGGATCGGGATTTGGGACTAACTGCTCATCCCTAAATGACCTTGATGCAACTCCTTATTCTTTAAGCACATAATGAACACACTCTTAGCTCAAAACACACACTCATGGAGTTAGGGTTTGCCAAAAACGACTCAAGAACTTGGAGGCTGGAAAGATAGGAGTAAATGGTCCATAAAGAAGCTTAAATACTCCACAAACCCTAAAAATTAGGATTTTTCACCCGGACAGAAGTATGCCCAACGTACATATGTGTACGCCCAACGTACTAGGGCGCGCCCTAGTACGCTTAACGTACACACATGTACGCCCAGCGTACAACTCATGCTCCCAAAATTACCTTTTTACGACTAGGGCTTCCCATGCCCACTTCCTTCCAATCCAAGGATCAAAAATGACATAATTAAAACCCAAGGGATGAACTTGAAATTACCTGAAAACTGGGGTGTTACAGGTGAGTTCCCAAAAATACCTCATACATACATACATACATACATACATACATACATACATACATACATACATACATCGGGCCCCTCCCGGTACAGATCTGTCATTCATATGTGGTGGGCCCTGCCCAACACATTCATCAGGCCCCGCTAGACATCGGGCCCCGCCCGGTATACATACAAGCACATGCAAGAGTCACACACATCGGGCCCCGCCCGATATACATACAAACACATGCAAGAGTCACATAGACAACTAGAATACATACAAACTATAAAATAACAATGTGTCGACATTGGTGCCTTCGACCCGCAAATACTGTGGGAAGACTCACCTCACCGTCTGAAAAATAGCTGCACAAATCACTGCTCCAAAATATATCTCTAGTGGTCACTATACAATAAAAAATGACCAAATCTCAAACCACATATCAAAATACCCAAAATTCCCTTAAGTCAACCTTGGTCAAAGGTCAAAGTCAAAAAGTCAAGTTGACTGAGTACATTAAGCGTACTCACTAACTACCCCCAACGTAGTGCATCCTTGACCAAACCACGTAACCTTGACCAGGTATGTGCATTATACCCCTTGACACGCCCAACATACTACGTCTGGACACCTTCCTTCTCATTAAGTTCTTATTCATTAAGGCATTTCCATCCAACTCAGATCTAGACTCAAAACATCGACTTAAGTCATAAAGTTTCCACCTTTATGACTTTCCATGGCTAGAAAAGGTCCAAAAGCTAAAACCCTAACTTATTTATTCGTTAAGACATCATAATTCTTGTATGGAAGGGATAAAAGGACCACAATCATATTTTTATGGTTCCTAATAGCTCAATAATGGATAAAGTTTCCAACTTTATCCATTAGAATGGTCCAAACAACCAAGATCTAGTCTTTAAGACTCAAAGGGACCAAAAAATGCATCTTTCTCAACTTAATTCATTAAGTCCAAGTCTCCAACCTTCAGATCTGAATCAATATGATGTTTAGATGGATAAAGTTTCCAACTTTATCCATAACAAGGTCACAAACTTTCAAGATCTAAACTTTATGCACTAAAGTGACCAAAAAGCTCATAACACACAAGACTAGCTAGATCTAACAAGTGCATCATCAAGATTCAAGCTTTATACCTTCTAAAGTTGAGAAAAGCAATGTAGGTTCTGGATCCACAAGCTTGAGCTTCAACAATCAACAAGCTTGAACTTCTCTTTCATCCAAAATGCACTCAAAACACATATAAAGGCTCAAGTTTTGTTCTACGGGGCTAGGGTTTCGAGTTAGAGGCTCAAGAGGGTGGAGGCTGATGTTAGGAAGGACCCCAAGGGGTTAGAGTCCTTAAATAGGGCTCAAAACCACGAAAATAGGGTTTTCACTCTGCGGAGGTACATCCAGCGTACCTAAAATTAAGCCCAATGTAATGCCCTAAACACGCGATTCATCAGCCTAGTGCGCCCGACGTACTCCTGGTGTACGCCCAACGTACTACCAGACTATCTTATTCCGGCTTAACTTCAAACAACCATAACTTATTCGTTTCAACTCTGATTTCGGCGTTCTTTATATGCACGGAAAGGTATTGAAGAGCCCCACAATCCTATCTAATTACTTTGAACTTAAAATATACTGAACTAAAATCCTTATTCCAAGAAAGAAGTTTGAAAAATCACTTTTCCCGTCTTACCGTTTGACTCCAAAACACAAACCAAGGGCTTGGATCACATAACCAATATTATTAATCATCCGATAGGGTCTAAACCCTATCCCATTGAAGTCCAAGGCCTTTGGTTGATCCATTTATTGTCCATAATTCTGAAATAAGAAACTTCTCAAAACAGGATGTTACACCAACAATTGATCAATTAACAACATCATATTGAATAGTCGAAGCCACTTCCTCCAGATCATCACCCCCATTTACTAAATACATATGTGCAACACTTGGGACTTTCATAATAACATTTTCAAGTGTTTCACATAACTCTCATCCACTGTCTCTATAATACACTTCATTCAGAATGTTGGAAAGACAAAATGATATTAGGTCTGCCTCCCCAACCTATTTTCATTTTAACCAAATTAAATAAATAAGGAAAATTTATATTTTTCGAAAATTATACAACGTGGTTTTTTAACAAAAGACCTTACATATACGAACAATAACAAAATATTTTGTCGGAAATAAACTCACAATTTTTCCTTAAAGAAATGTTGTCAGACAGTTTTTTTTTGTAACTTTTAATGTTCCATACGTTGAATTTATAAAAAAAACATGAATTTTTTTATTAATTTCACAATACAAATGTCAGATGTCGCATGATGAATGTTAGATTTACAATAAAAAAAAAATACATGTTTTTGTCTAGAAAAAACCACAAATTCGTTAAGTACATAATGAAAAATCTCATTTTGGAGTGTGTATTGCACAAGGTTCTAAAAAGCTCGTCATGGCTCCACCATGGCGCGTCATGGCTCCAAGGCTTGTGTCTGCCGCCAAACTTTACTAAAACGCCGCCTTAACTTATATATGTGTATAAAATAAAATAATAGTTGAAAATACATATAAAAATATTAATTATGTACAAAATTGCCGCCTTAAGTCACGCCTTACAAACGACGTGGTTCGCCAAGGCTCAGAAAAGCTTGAGGCTTGACATTGCCGTCAAGTCACGCCTTACGTTATTTAGAACATTGGTATTGCAACTTCAACTGTAAAATAGAATTATATTGATGGATTTAAAGGATTTTACACGTAAGGGTTGCCATTCGAAATAATTTGCTTTTTAGCAATCGCAAACTCATCAAGTCTTTACTTTCAGATCCAGTCTCAATCATTTTTTTGGATTAGAGTTAAAAATCATAAACTTTGTGTTTATTGGTTAGAGCATTTCTTTTCAAACTATTCATATGTAATTTCCTAACTTTTTCCTAACTTTTGCTAGTTTTTAATGTTAATTCCTTAGCTTTTGTGTTAATTGGTTAGAATGGATGAAATGTCATTCTTTTCAAACTATTCATATGTAATTTCTTAGCTTTTATTAGTTTTTAATGTTAATGTCGTCGTTATAAAATAAAAAAATCCTCGTATGAAACCCTTTTTGATTTTTTTTTCTTAAAAATTGTTCGTCATTTTTTAAAGATAGACGATTAGACGGAAAAGTATCAAAATTAATAATTCCTTTTTTAAATAATTTCCAGTTCCTAGATGGATTGTCACTTTCACAGACACTATACCAATTTTGTTTGCAAAACTTACGAATTAATGGTTATTTTTAAAAATACCTTGAGTTTTATTTAAATCTTAGGTTTCTCTCAATTTGGTTAAATCTGATTTTAACGATTGAACTCAAATTTTGGTTTCCCTCGTGTAGCCTCCAGTTCATGCCACGTCATTTAAAACCACCTTGTGGCGCGCGCACATAGGAAAACATTCAGAATCTGGAAAATCGAACAAACCGGTCCAACCATATCACGGTTCGCAGGTTTAACCCAAAAGGGCAGTATCGTGAATTCAGAAAAAACCAGGGGTAAAACCGTAACAAGGGCAACAGAACTTTCAGTTCGTAACAGACAGCTGCTTACGAAGAGAGGCAACAACTAACCCTTTTCTCTCTCTTTAAGGTCTGAAACAAAAAAACTAAATCAATTTCTTCGATGCTTTAAGGATGGACGCCGACGAGGTAAAATTTCGACACCCACTTCGCGTACTCACGCCACCGCCGCCGCTGATGGCGGAGGCCGTCCCTACAGTTACTCGCCTGAGAATATAACACTTTAACCGTTTTTTTGTTCTTGATTTGGGTTTATTGATTTTTTCATCGGGGGATCGTGTTTGATCTTCTTTATTTACATTTTGTTGGTGTTTGATCTTGGGTTGTTTTGCATTTGACTGTTGCAGAGATTAACGGCTTTGAAGAAGGCGTATGCGGATATTATACTGAATACGGCGAAAGAAGCAGCGGCGAGGATTATGGTGTCGGAACGGAAAGCTCTTCGGTTCGAGTACGAGCTGAAAAACGCTAAAGAAGACGCGCTTCAGATGCTTCTGAGACTCAAACAGATGATGGATTCCAAGGTATAAATAAACACTCTCGAATTTCCGCATTTTCTTCGCGTTTTGACAAGTGGGGTTAACTTTGACGACTTGACTTTGAATTTGAATGAGGGTTTGTGTGTTGTAGGTGTACTGATGACTCGAACAGGGTTGAGTTTGTCTTGTTTGGAATCTTAGTTGATCTTTGCATTCCGATGCTTTTGTTAGATTGTTCTCTTAGGGTTGCAATTTGGATTAGAGTGAGCTGAAGTCAACTTTGTGTTATGAATTATCTGAGATAGACTTTGTTTCTTGTAGGTTATGTCTTGATTTTTGTTAAAGAGTGGACATATTTTGGGGGTTTTCTTGATATATGACAAAGTTTTGTTGATTAGTTGATCAATGAGGGGCATTTTGGAGTGATATAATGATTTCATTCATTTGGTATGGTTGGAAAAATTATACACTATATGATTTTGAATAAATGCTTATGTCATTACTTTAATCATGTGTGTGATTGTTTATGGGTGTGAATTGTGATTAAGGTTATTCTATAGTGACATAGTATTTGACCATTGGCTGATATAAGATGAAAAGATTTTAGTGAGTTTTAAGTACTGGATCACTCGTGTGTGCAAAAGACATGAACGCCCTTTTCCTCATCATCAAGAATAGCCCTAGGAAACTTATCCAGTCCCGTGTAATAAAGGCAGCCTAGAAGTCTAATCTTTTGACTCTTGTCAAGTTCTTTTAAGTTTTAACAAGACTCGATGTGTAAAGGACCTACTATATACTAGAAATTCCTATTTTATTCAAATGAATTTTTGCACATTGAGGATTATATATAGAGTATAGACATCATTTGATTATTGCCTTGAATAACACATCTTCTATATATAGACTTTATGTGATTTGCCCTAATGCAGGAAGAAATTCACAAACACAAACTTAAATACAAACAACTCGTTTTGGATTCCACAACAAACTAGTTGTTTTTATGGGTAAGAAAACATGTCACATGTTCACATGTCAAAGAAAGCAACAATGCAATAAATGTATTACTAGCTTGCAATTCCTATATGCCTTGGTGCATCAAGTCTTTCAACACTAGTTTAAGAAAAAATAGGCCAACACCCAAAGAAGTTGAAAATATGTTGTCTCACTCACATTAACACACACACACACACACCCCTCTTTAGTGGGTGGTGTCAGAAAAGGATTTTTCACATTTCTCAGGGTGGATGAAAGAGATAATAGAGTCTTGATGTAATCAATGTAAGATTAAAGTACAAAACCCCAATTTTGATGAATACCCATTTGAAAATTTTGGCAGGCTAATGAAGCTGCAGTGGCATCATGCACCCAACAAAAGAAAATTGAAGAACTGGAAGCACAACTTCAGGAAGCTGAAGACATTGTGAAAGACCTGAGGGAAGAGTTGAGAGCAGTTGAAGCAGAACTTGAGAGGTTCCCAAGAAGCAAACAAGTAAAGCATCCTGTACAAGTAGACAATGCATCAATTCCTGAACCTCCTGCTACCGAAGTACAACCCAATTCAAAAAGCCAGAGACTTTATAATTCTTTATTTCCTTTAAAGAAATCTTTAATCAGCAACAGGGATTTACCTTCTATTATCTTGAGAAGCAAAGAAACCGAATTGTATAGAAATGGGTGTACTCAAAGAATCCGAGCATGCGAACGGACCCCACCAGAAATAGATGACACAAAACCCGAGTCAATTGTCAAAGAGGACGAAGTAGTTGATAAATTACATATAACACCCTCTGTGGAGGAGAAAGAAGTAGTAAAGGAGATGGATCTAACGGCTGGTAATTCATGTTTGACTTCTCCAAGTTCAGTCAAACTTTTAGAGGAAAACTCTGATAAAGATTTAGTAAGAATGTGTAATGGTGAAAGCAGAATTACAGAGAAAGATGGAATAATGCAACAGAAGAGCACAGAAATGGAGGAGGTTGAGCCACCATTAAAGAGTTCAGAAACAAAGGTTCCAAGTCAACCGTTGAGTGATAGAGTTATCAAGTACACGTTTCAGAGGAAGAGGAAAAGAGGGGCTTTGATTAATGGAAATGGTTCTAGTGAAAGGAGTGAGGAGGGGTCTGGAAAGGCAAACTTGAAAGGGGAATCAATATGCCTACAACATCAGCAAGTTGCTCTAACTCAGGTTGGTGATCTGTCTACATAGTATCAGTATGTCTTGATATTTATGCCTTGAAATCCATCAATTTACATAGTTTTGCAATTATATATATATATATATATATATATATATATATATATCTTATACTGATAGTTTATTGGATTGCGTATCTTTTTTGTTTTGTTCATATGTTGATTTATTAGTGAGACCAATGGATACTGGAGGCAGTGTCCAAGGTGCTCTCAAAATCTGGAGTGGGAGAATATGAGCATTCAAATGCGTAAGAATGCAAAATATGAGGCATTACATTATAAGCACTTAAACCCTAAGTAGAGCAGGATACAATTCAAATTTTCACAATAGTTGTGCAAAAGTCATTCCTTGTATTCATGAAGAATTCCGAAGGTTAGCTGTAAGAAACTCGAACTTTATCTGTAGCTTCTAGAAAGCAGCAACAATTTTAGCCTGAGACACCATGAGGAAACTTCTGCAGCAACAATTCATCAACTAACAATAGTCAACGATTAGGTAACCTTCCTTTATGTGACAACTCCAAGATCTTAAGTCACACAAAGGAGGTATCTAAGATAAAGAGATTTCGAGTCTAGATGTTGTCACCTTTATTGATGATCATACCCATATCACAATTCACAAGTATCACTTGGATCTTGCTTACAATAGAAAAATCAAAAGCGAGACTCTTTTTTCTTCTTCAAAACTTCCACAAAATGTTTAAAAACCAATTTCACACGAAGATCAAAGTCCTGGAAAGGCTTGAATTTGAGTCAAATCTAAGATCATATCTCAACGAAAAAGCTAATAAGCACTTTTACAAATAAGCATAAGTTGTTTTAAATAAGCAATTCCAACATTATTTGACTTTCGCCAATCTACTTAATCTTGGTGGTGAAAAACTTTAATCAAGTCTTATCCCATGTTCTTGATTCTGACTTCTCTCTTTTATTATTATTATTATTTTTAATCCTAGACTAAGCTCACGTTTCAACATCCAAATTCTTCACTACTTGGATACGTTACTTTTGTTGTTGAATATGGCAATGTAGGATCAAGTTGTAGGAGCCAAGTAGCCAAAGTTTTACCCTATGAAAAACATAGCCAATACCTATGGTTTTGCTTCATTCTAATAGAGGTTTGTTAGGTGTTTGATCACGATTGTTGATCCTCTCACTGTGATAGGAACGTGAATCCAATAACAGATAAATGGAACTAAAATATGAGATATATAGATCTAGGAAGCTATTTGATTACTAAATAGAATTAAGAACAAATCAGAAAGGAAATCCAAATGATTGTCCTCCTGCCCTAATAAGAAAAGTTCTCTCAAGAGAAACCTCTGCCCAAGCTAATGCCGATACTCAAAGCTTACAAAATACTCAATACCTCACTACTCCTATCACTACTCTATTTATGCTATTCTTGAGATAATTCTAGATAGGGTGCAAAATAGATAATAATAGATATTACAATTAAGTCCCCCATGTTTACCCATATATTTATATAAGACCCATAGCACATTCTCTATCAATACCACCGTCTTGAAGAAGAGGCTTGTCCTCAAGCCGGGAGTTAGGAAATTGACTTTTTGTTTGAAAGACACTTTTGCTTCTTTGATTGGACATTGTTGCCATGGAATCAACCATTGCTTCCTTTGTTTTACCTTGCTGTCAACACAACTAGTTTCCTTTCTTTCATTGGATTCAATCAACACAACTTCTTTCATTGATGGCTGGCCAAAAGATGACAGCTTTCTGCACTTTATAGCAACCTTTAAGGTATAATAGATGAAAAGCTTGAGCGTAGCTCGATATCCTTCCATTTCTTTCTTATTTTTGCCAAAAGTTATAATCTTCTCTTTGGTGGTGTTCCTATCCCAGGATTCTTTGTCCTTAAGAAAAGAGACAAGCTCGATTTCAAATGTACCAGTGGCATTAGGCGGCAATACTGCTAATTCTTGCTTGAAATCGATAAAACCAAAAGCATATTCTGGTGCAATACTCAGAAGAGCTACTTCACCTTTCTTCATCATCATCACAACTTCTTCAAGCCTATCAACTTCCTGCTCTTTATCTGCCTTGAAATTGAAAGGCTCAGTATCATCATGACCTTTCCTGATGAATACAATACCATACTTCAGCTTACCTACCAACTTAAATTGAAAAACAACCCCTTCATTTGGGAGTTGGAATCCCTCCCCTTCTTCTAAAGCTTTTCTGGATGACTTTCTTGTCATCTGTAATATCTGTAGGGACCCTCCATGATATTATTTGTAGTGTAGCATTTGCAGGGATGGAACCTTCATTACCAGATGCGATTTTTCCCTTCTCTCCAATTCCATATTCTAGTATGACTGTAGGGATGACCTTGTCCCCCTTCAATCTGGTGTTTAATTTCCGTTTGGCAATCTCTATCTTATCTTTATAGAAGAATTTAATAGCTTCTCGCAACAATAAGATCTTCTGATGGGTCCAACTGTTGGCTTCAAGGTCTCCATAAGCTTTGGTTGTATCATCCTTCATGAAAACAAGATTTGAATAACCAGTAACACATGCCTATTTGTTCAAACAATCCAAATATAATAGTGTCTCAACCATTTTGAGGGATTGATTGCATCGATTTTTATAGAGAATTCCATGAATTCTGTTGTTCAAACCAGAGTTTTCAATACTACTGGTAGCCAATTCTTGGTATATATCGGATGCTTTTATCTTACAAGTGGGTTTATAAAATTGGGTTAAGCGATCAATAGACCGCAGGGAGATTGCAGGTACAAGTAATTCGTCTTTTAAATTCACGGTGAGACAAGAGTCCTCATCGTGAAGCTCATGGTGCTGTGTTTTGGCTTCCGACTCAGAATTCGACGTCAGAGATTTCACGAAAGTTGAATAATTACATTTCAAATTTGAATCCTCGTCTTCCCCTTCTTGTTTAAACAGGCTCGTAGTAATGACATTACAAATAGGGATAACAATCAATTTTGGCGATTTGTAGGGTTTTAGTGGTAATTGAAGAGACGCAGTATTGGGTACGAGTGCTTGAGTGGTCTGTGAATTAGGCCCAATTGACTGCTCGGTCAAATCATGTGGGCCATAGTGCGAATTTAAATTGGAGCCAGAAGTATATTTTGATACCTTACCATTCACGCTTGGACGTTCTCCCGGAGCGGTGATGGCGGTGGCAACATGTCGGGCGAGATCAATTGCTTTCTCACAGGTGGTCGGTCGGAGTAACCTAAGCCAGTTCTTTATGTCCGCTTGCAAACCATGAATAAATATTTCAAGTCGTTGTTCCTCTGCTTGGTATGGAAGAAAAGTTGATAGGGCTTGGAAATTCTCTATGTATTCTTCTACATCCCCCTCCTGATTCAACGATCCTAAGTCATCGATCAGAGTGTAATCGTTGCTAATGGCTGGTCCCCTGAAGAATGAAGTCTCTGTCTCCATAGTTGGAGAAAAATGCTTGCATGTGGGTCGATGTAAGCCTTCCGTCATTTTTTCGAGTGATTTGGGTAGGTTATTAAGAGCCTGACACACCGATCTCACTAAAGAGGTAAGATCCCTTAACTGATCTGATAACAATTCAAGTTTCTTATCACGCGCATCCGTCCTTGCTTCAAGTTGAGTAACAGTTTGAGACTCCGGTGTAACCATGGTTGATTTCGATTTCCCGGCAACGGAACCAATTGATAGGAACGTGAATCCAATAACAGATAAATGGAACTAAAATATGAGATATATAGATCTAGGAAGCTATTTGATTACTAAATAGAATTAAGAACAAATCAGAAAGGAAATCCAAATGATTGTCCTCCTGCCCTAATCAGAAAAGTTCTCTCAAAAGAAACCTCTGCCCAAGCTAATGCCGATACTCAAAGCTTACAAAATACTCAATACCTCACTACTCCTATCACTACTCTATTTATGCTATTCTTGAGATAATTCTAGATAGGGTGCAAAATAGATAATAATAGATATTACAATTAAGTCCCCCATGTTTACCCATATATTTATATAAGACCCATAGCACATTCTCTATCACACTGGCAGTGTCAAATAAGGTTCTTTAGAATGGATTCAATCTGCCAATAAAGCATTTGAGAAAATCAAGGAGAACTTGGCCAAATCAAATTGTTCAATTTGTTTTACATAGATCATCAAGCTTTGAGGCATATGAATGTCGAAAGCAAACTCAACCCAAATGGGTAGAATTCCTCAAGTCCTTTATGTTTGCTTCAATGTATAAAACTGGAAGTTCTAACATTGTTGTAGTTTCCCTCTCAACAAGATATCTCATGCTTACTATTCTCAGTGTAAGGGTCAAACATTTGTACCTATTATTTTTCAAAATGATTCAAGAGTATAAAGAGGGCTTTTGGCCCTTATTCCTTTCAAGAACAACAAACTTTGTGTTCCTAAAGAAACCATAAGGGAGTCTATATTAAAGGCTTCCAAGTTGTATTAGGAGGGGAATCTTCTGATTTTGAATATACATAACATAATACATCAGCTTGTGAAAGCTATTTCGAGTGTTCTATGCATGTGATATGAGTCGATTCTTGATTCTTGATTATTCTTAGTCTACTGCTGTTGCTTTATCACTAACAGTATTCAACTTTTGCAAATCTCAACAATCTTGCTGCTGTTAAACTACTCTATTCAAGTCTTGTTGATTCCCACTTCTCTCTCTCTTTTTTTTTTCAGGTTTGAATTTTAAGCCTTTCACTAGTAGTTTCTAAATTAATACACAAGTTTATAAAGAAGTTGGTTAGTTTCTTAATTACTTAAAAGCTGATATCTCTGACTATAAATACAAGCTCCAGTGTAATCTTAAACACCCTGTTTCTCTAAAGTACATGTGTTTGAGTTAAATTATCAAAAACACAATAAGTTGTCATAGTTTTTGTGCTTTGTGTCTTCCATGTGTATTCAAAGATGACAGTTGATTAAAGCTTCTTTTTTATGCAGCTTGAGGAAGCAAGATTATTGAAGCTTGAGGAAGAAAGATATTTGAGCTACTTTATGTCCCAAAAAAATGGTGGTGATATAACAACAGATGGTGGAATTAAAGACAATCTTACAATCATAAAAGGCTTATAACTTTACTCATCTTGTGTCTATCAAGTTTATATGCTTCAATTCTCTTCGGCTTAATATTGTTCTTAATTTTACTTTTTAGCCCCTGTACAATCTGTAGTCTGTGCAGTGTTATTCACTGCTTGAGAATTTTCACCTTTAGTGTTCTGAATGATGAATGTTCTTTGCATAGTTTTGGTTCTTTGGGTACAACCGTTGTATCATGTTATCTTGTTCAAAAGGGAGCGTTTGATCATCTCATATCTTGTTTAAACTGGAAGGTTATGATCATGTTGTTGTGTTGCCTTGATGATATCATAGTAAATGGCATTAAGATTCTTTTGACACATGTAAAAGTAATATATGAAATAGGATAAACAAAATCATACTTATAAAACGGTAGTACTAGTACATTGATGAACATACAAGTTTTACGGAAATGTTATTACGAATTGATTTTCATCAACGGGAACATGAGGTAATGATGTTTTTTACAAATTGGATACACATAATTGTGAATATTTTATGCATGTTATATATATATATATATATATATATATATATATATATATATATATATATATATAGGGCCGGTCCAATGGTTTTTCATGCCCCAGGCAAAATGGCATAACAATGCCCTATTTTAATGGCGTTGATCTATTTCGAACCTTTAAGAGAAACATAAATTAGAAAGCAACAATGTAACAAAACCTTTTATTTTAAGGCTCATATGTACACAAACTAACATATACAAACTTAGCTTAAAACACTGTCTTATTGCATTCTTGAAGCAAAAATACAAATTATTCTATCTCACACTTGCAAAAAATAACATTAAGTGCTAAAAATTGTCACACCTTTCAGTCTCTCTTATGTCTTTGTACATCATAAATGACTTCAACTTTGAAACACTCTTTTACAAGGATGCTACAATAACAAATACAATCAACATAATCTTATATACAAACAAACATTTAGAAACATATACATCATTGCAAAAGCAACACAGAAAACAGAGAACTCAAGACAATTAAACCAAAAGCAAACAGAAAACAACGGCATCAGTAGAAGATATCAACCACAAGGAAGAACTAAAAACAATCAAATCATGTGAACAACCCAAAGAAAACCCCCAACAATAGACATCTCCAATATAGCAACAAACTTGGGAACACAACAACAAAAGTTAACAAACTTTGATACAACAAAACCAATAAACTTTGTCTTTGCTGAAACACCAATAATGACATCCTACTTTCTGAGTATTACCAGGAATAACAATTAACAAATTTGTAAACAACCCATAGATACTAGGAGCAACAACTAACTTGTAACTTCACCGTGTCAATGTACAAATCTAAATACCACCAAACTTAAAAACAAAGCATCGTGACACCTCCAAGTGCAAATTCATTTTCAAGAATTAACAACCAAAACAAAAGTGATCTGAAAACTAAAAAGTGGTGTTTAAAACAAGGTAAATTAGCTTATTGAGTTCTAAAAACCTGGGCCGGCCGTATATATATATATATATATATATATATATATATATATATATATATATATATATATATATATATATATATATATATATATATATATAGCTTATTGAGTTCTAACTATCTATTGTGTGTATGTAAATTACATAAATGGTTCTTGTAGTTTGGTCGAATTTTTAGTTTTGGTCCATAAGTTTAAAATTTGATAGGTTACATCCCTGTGGTTTGTGAAATTGCATTATAATTCCTTAGTTCATATAAAAAGACCAAATTACCCTTTCTTTCTGTTTTCTTTTTCTTTTAACACATTATTATTATTATTATTATTATTATTATTATTATTATTGTTGTTGTTGTTGTTGTTGTTTTATCTTTATTTTAATAGAATTAATATAGATTATTTTTATATTTTTAAATCAATTATTTAAATTATATAAAATCATATTATAATTATTATTATTATTATTATTATTATTATTATGATTATATAATAATAATAATAATAATAAATAATAATAATAATAATAAATTGTAAAAAAGAAAAAGAAAAAAGAAAAAAGAAAGAAAGGGTATTTTGGTCTTTTTATATGGACCAAAGACCTACAGTGTAATTTTTACAAACCACATTTATGTAACCTATCAAATTTTAAACTTAGGACTAAAACTGAGAATTCGACAAAACCACAATGATTATTTGTGTAAATTATATAATATATATATATATATATATATATATATATATATATATATATATATATATATATATATAACACAAAATCAGGTAATTCGTTATATATAAGTCCTAAAAAAATCATATTTTATTTACATTTTCTCTTTAATAGGAAAAATAATTCATTAATTTCCAGCTCCCAGCCATGCAACGCCACTACGCCAGATAGACAATAAACGACACTTTTCAATATTAGAAGTGTTTGATTTTTATTTCATATAATTGAAAGATTATTATTAATTAAATAACTAAAGTATCATTTCATAAGTCAAGATTATTAGATTAATATACATATCTTATGTGTAACAATTCAAGCTCAAAATTACAAATATTGCCGAGTAAATTTTCAATCAACTTGAATTACAATGAATTTTTTGGTGACTTTTTTCTTTGAACATCAACTATTATTGGGAAATAGACTTATAAGGTAATTAACTTTTCGGTTACCAAAGGGCTTCTAGTAAAATTATACTAAAATATTTCATTTATATTTCGAAAAAACGGTGACTTTTTTTTTTTATTTTTTTGGATAAATTAAATAACAAAAATAATTTTTAATTTTTTTTAGGATTTTTCCTTTTATTTTGCAATTTATAATTTTTTTTATTCTTTTGATCTCCAAGATGAGTGGCTAGGATCGCGCGTCCGCATGTCTCACAAAATTAGCATGGTTTTAAATGAACCTCTATATATATATATATATATATATATATATATATATATATATATATATATATATATATATATAAGGTGATGTTCAATAGATAATCATAATTAACCAAGGAACCAATGAACCAATATTTTTTTCAACTTTTTGAACTTGTTTTTTATCAAAAAAAAAACTAAAAATACATAAATTCTTAACTTTTTATCTTTTTTCCAATGATATCAAATTCAATAATTTTTTTTTCCCGTCAAATTCAAAATGTGAATCTAAATTTACACGGTGAATCCGAAAAATATATTTAACATTGACAATGTTAAGTTATGAATTTAGATATTTTTAGTTTTTTTTTCGATAAAGAATAAACTCTAGAGCTTGAAAAAAATATTTTGTTCCTTGAAGAACCAATAATTATGGTTCTCTATTGAATTTTTTTTCTTTCTCTCTCTCTCTCTCTATATATATATATATATATATATATATATATATATATATATATATATATATATATAGAGAGAGAGAGAGAGAAAGAGAGAGAAATGATCATTTGAGAACTCAAAGTTTCCCGAGAACCCGAGAACTAAAAGTGGAGCGTTGGATAAATTTTTTTGACGAATTAGATGATTAGTGGCATATTTTGTAAATATGACTAAATTTAATGGTATATCAGGTTTTTAGAAAAAGACTACAAGGGTAAATCTGGTATAAAAAAATTAAAAAGATCAAATTAATTGTTAATTGAAATATCAATTACTCTCTCTTTCTCAGTGTATCGTGTATCGTGTTCTTCACCAAAATCCTCCCTCTTCGTCCACCGCTCCCTCCTCCCTCCAACAACCACCATACCTCTGTCAACAACCACCGCCTTCGTTGAAGATTCTCCGATGATTGATAGATTTAACATCGCGGTGGTTGCGTCATTCTTCCCTCTCGAAGTTTCGTGCCCTAATAAGTCAGACAGAGGTCCGATCGCTCCGAACCTCCCGATTCTCCTTCGCCTCTGAGCTTCCGGTCTCTGAGCCAGAGGACGACTCGATGTTCGGAAGCAGCAACACCGTCCGTTCAATCAAGAGTCTGTCCGACATCGATGATGAGCGACTTTATCTCGTTGATCACAGGTGAGTTTTTCCCATCGTTAATCAATTGGAAAACCAAATTTGACTTCAAGTTACAAACCTTCGTGTTCCTCTTCGCTCAATCTGTCCTCGGAAAAGAAAATCAGAGCAAATGGAGGAAGCCATGGCTGTAATCAACCAGGTAACAGCTGAGGAACTCGAATTACGACTTTACTCTTCTTTCCATGGTCCAAGTTTAGATGGTACTGGAGACATTGAACCGGCTTAGCTCGTTAGGTTTCAAGTCCCTGAATGTTACGTTTATCTGTAATTTGTGAGGATACCTGTGATTTTTTCGATAAGATATAGTTGATTGTTTGCTTTATACTTGATGAGGTTCTTATTTTGGAACAATTATTTCCCAAAATAATTGTAGTTACAGGCCTATTTTTGATCTGTTCTTATCTTAATTGTAGGTACAATTTTGATATGTTATTATCTTAATATTAGTTACAGGCCGATTTTTGGATTTGGTGGGGCTCTTTTAGAGTTTTTTTCACATTGGTAGCAACACTCATCTTATATTGACAAAAACCAATAGATTTCTTACTTGTATTCATCTTGATTTCTAGGTGTGTATCAAAATGGACATATAACAGGAGTCTGAATGGAATGCATCACAAAGTATCTTTATCAGTGAAGATCTTTTGACTGCTGCTAAGCTTCAGCTGCAATTTCTTGCAGTTGTAGACAGAAACCATTGGCTTTATCAAGGCCAGACATTGCAATAGGCAATCTATAGGTAACTCAACTGATTATTACTTTTTTTAGTAACAAAAACTTATAATTTAATGAAAAAAAAACTAATTTCAGGTACAATGCATGTTGGCTTCCATTGATTGCTAAACATTCAGAGTCTAAAATCACTAAAGGACCTTTAGTTGTTCCTCTTGATTGTGAATGGATTTGGCATTGTCACAGACTTAATCCGGTATATGATTATGAAACAAATACTCATTTTTCCAATGATAATTTTTGTAAAAAAACTTTATGTTCTTAATATATTTTTTTACAGGTTAGATACAAACCAGATTGTGAAGAATTCTATGGAAGGATTCTTGACAACTCTAATGTTGTCTATTCTATTAATCAAGGAACCTCAAGAAAGGAAACAGAAGAAACATGGAACAAATTATACCCTAATGAACCCTATGAGTATGACATGTCACGTGCTTCATCAAGTGAATTTTCAGAAACTTTATATAATGGAGGAACTCAAAGCTTTTCCAAATATGATTTTGTTTTAGCTGTTGAAAGACAAAGCCCCTTCTTTTACCAGGTAAACCCTAAAACCAGCTAAAGATTACTATAAAAAGTTAAAAATAACTCTTTTTTTTTGCAGAATTGTTTGAAACCCTACTCTTTGTGACAAGTGTCAAGGCCTCATTTCAAGAAAGATCTATTCCTTCAAGAAGCTGTAGCAAGATACAAAGGTTTTCTACATCTCATAAGGAGAAACAATGAAAGATCCTTGAAACGTTTAAAGCCGGAATTGTTCAAGAAAGCGTGAAGATTTTCAGGAGCATGGAGGAATTAGGCGTACCACGAACTATAAAATCATACGACACTTTATTCAAGGTGATAATGAGAAGAGGAAGATATAAAATCATTTGTGATTTACATGTGAATCACATGTAATTCACATGTAAATCATATTAATTATTTATTTTTTCTAACCATATAGTTTATTTTAATTTGTTTCATTTTAGCAATATATCACAAGTGAATCACATGTGAATTACATGTGATTCACATGTAAATCACATGTAATTCACAAGTAAATCACAAGTGATTCACATATGAATTACATGTGATTCACATGTAATTCACAAGTAAATCAACAGTGATTCACATATGAATTACATGTGATTCACATGTAAATTACAAGTGAATCACATATGAATTACATGTGATACATATGTAATTTACATATAAATCACATGTAATTCACAAGTGATTCACATATGAATTACATGTGATTCACATGTAATTCACATGTAAATCACAAGTGAATCACATATGAATTACATGTGATTCACATGTAATTCACATTCTAACCACATGTAACTCACAAGTAAATTTCATATGAATTACATGTGATTCGCATATAAATCATAAGTGAACCACATATAAATTACGTCTATATGCACACATGTATTTTTGTGAGTTTTCTTGCATTAATCATTTTTTTTATTTTCTTGTAGATTTGGAATAATTTGTGGAAAACATTGAAGAGATGAAAAATGATAAATTAAAGAAAATATGGAGCACGAAGACAAAAAAACGCTATGAAATTTTGTAGTATTTTTTGGTTTTTTTATATTTTATTTTGTATCGAATAAAATACTCGCATTATGTGTTTATAGATTATTAAATAAAAATGGATTTTTTATATGATTACTTACGAATATTATAGTATAAGAAAGATATATATAAGTACTTGAAAAATATACATATATGCATCTAAAACGTTGATTTTTTTTGTTAAAAAAATTATAGTTTTTTTTTTAAAATATTCCAGTTTTTTTTTTAATTTTATTGGTTTTTAAAAATTAACCTTTTAAAAAAAACCGCAGCTTTTTAGAAAAAAGTACAGTTTTTTTTTAAATACAGTTTTTTGAAGAAAGTTACAGTTTTTTTTTGAAAAAAATGTAGTTTTTTTTTTTGAAAAAAATGCAAATTTTTTTTAAAAAAAATTGCAATTTTTTTTAAAAATATTTTTTTTTTCAATTAAAAAATGAAAAAATCTCCATTTTTTTAAAAAAATCGAAAATTATTTTAAAAAAAATCCGAAATTTGATTTATTATGTTAATTTTTAGAACTTTTTATTAATTATTCCAACAACAAAAAGAAATTAAACATTAAATGAAACCGGTAAGATGACGATCATGCCCTTAATGAATTAATTTTGATCTAACGCTCCACATTTAGTTCTCAGGTTCTCGGGAAACTATGTGTTCTCAACGGATCTCAACCCTATAGATATAGATATATATATATATATATATATATATAGATATATATATATATAATATATATATATATATATAGATATATATATATATATATTATATATATATATAAGTTTAGGTTCTATGGAAACAAGAAACCCTAAAAAAACCCTAAAAATCATAAAAAAATACTTAGACATCACAAATCTTTTTTTTGATTTTATATTATGAATTTTCGCAGCTTCTTCTTTATTTTCGCTGAATTTATTTTTGAAAAAAACCAAAAAAAAAAAAAATCGATTTTTTATTTTTTTTTCAGCGATTTTGTAAATAAACCTGCGATTTTTAGGTAAAAAATGTCAAAAAAATTATTTGTGATCTCTAAGTATTTTTTTTATTCATTTTTATGATTTTTAGGGTTTTTTTAGGGTTTTTTTGTTTTCCATATAACCCTTCCATATATATATATAGATATATATATATATATCTATATATATATATATATATATATATATATATATAGGGAAAAGTTCAATAGAGAACCATAATTATTGGTTCTTCAAGGAACCAAATATTTTTTTCAATTTCTAAAGCTTATTATTTATTGAAAAAAAATCTAAAAATATCTAAATTCATATATTAACATTGTGAATGTGAAAAATATTTTTCGGATTCACCGTGTGAATCCGGATTCACGTTGTGAATTTTCAAAGATTCACATGTGAATTTGACGTAAAAAAAAATCGAATTTGATATCATTAGAAAAAGGATAAAAAGTTATGAATTTCTGTATTTTTAGTTTTTTTTTTTTGATAAAAACTAAGTTGTAAAAGTTGAAAAAAAGATTGGTTCCTTGGTTCTTTGGTTAATTATGGTTTTCTATTGAACCTCACACACTCTCTCTCGCTCTCTCTCTCTCTCCTCTCTCTCTCTCTATATATATATATATATATATATATAGATATATATATATATATATATATATATATAATATATATATATATATATATATATATATATATATCAAGTTTTAAGTTTCTATATTATAAACTTATAACACAACAAATGACCGCATTTATTGAAAATTAACTTATGATGAAAATCTTAAACATTGATTGTAGAAGAATATTTTCTAAAAGGCATTTTCAATAAATTATGCTTGTTTTAAATAGGATACGTTTTAAATAATTATCCATCATTTTGCGTATTGTTTTAATAGCATTATAGAAAAAAAGTTAACACTATCTTCTAAAGTTAAAGTTTATAAATATTAAATTTGACATATGATCTAATTATTATGGCATCATCTTTTCTAATGGTTATTTTTTCAATTGGCTTTTTTTTAATAAATTTAACTAATTGATCTAAAATGTGACCAAGTCTCCTTGAGACCATAATTGGAACTAGAAGTAATTTGAAAATATATTAGAACTTGTGGATCACGGTTTATAAAAATCTATCTAAAATATTCTACAAAACTTCATCATTTAATTTGTTTTTTTTAAACACACCTTATATTTTAACAAAAAAATAAAAATAAAATAAAATAACAGACAACATATGGGGTTTTATTGGAAACATATAAAATATGAAAAAGTTATCATATTATATTATAAATGTAAAAGGACAATTGAAATTATTAACAAACTTGATATTTAACAAGTTCAACTTTATCAAATACTTAGTAAAGTAAATTAATTACTAAAAAACAAAAAAGTTTAAAATTTACATGGAATTATAGGCCGATGAAATATTATTAAATTGAGATGATTTAGATATATAAAGTAAATTAAGGTTTTGTTTTTTGGGATAACAAGTTAATATATGTCTAAGATTGAATTATGGACTTTTTTTACAGATTCGTGCATAACAATTTTTCTCTGTATATAACAATTAATACTTTAAAATTTTATATTTTACATCTTTTAAAACATAAATTGTTAATATTAACAAAAATCGTTATGTACCAATTATTTTTAGAATAAAATGTTTTTTTCAATAAAGAAAAATAATATTGTCCAAAAGTTTTGAAAAGCAATTTGCAGCATAAAAGTCATCGAGCACGTGATGCCTTACTGTTGATGCTATCTAAATACGCGTTTCATTAGTAAATTATATTATATTGTTTTAGTGATATTATTTTCTTTCCTTGTTTTGCGCCGAAAAATATTTAATCTCATAATCTGCCTATACAAATCATCTCCCATGTATATGTTGTTGCGTAAATATACTATTTGACGTTTCTTTAAAGGTAACGTAAGTTATTAAAAAGAATATATATTGTATTTTGTTTTGTTATCAATACGACAGTAAACGTGATATATTTATTTTTATTTGTAGTACTATAGATATAATACATGAATCTCATATCTTGACATCTTGTGAAAACTAATACATGATAAACGTTATTAGCTAGAAGTATATAACTTAATATTTGTAAATTATTCCAATTAGTTCCTCTTCTTTTTATCTAAGATGAAATCGTTTATTACAAACTCTCAAAGTTTTTATGTCCTCATTAGCATATACAACTACATTCGGTACATTTATCGATCATTGGTAACACCTCAAGTTCAAAAAGGTAAACATGCATGTTCTAACCCTAAATTTAATTAAAACCCTAATGAAAGCATGCATGTTCAGACCCAAATTTTATTTAAAACCCTAATGAAAATCATCAGTAGTTCAACGTTATCGTTCTATATCTATTTGTTATGAGTTGTAAAAAGTTTCATTACTCATTAGACCTAGCTATATATCCAAATTTAATACTCAAAGAGATACGGAAATCCAGCACATTGGCATATCGAGAAGCTACACATTAAATTTATTAGTAACTCGCAATATGATATTGAAATTCAATTTGTGATTATTATTTATTATTATTTTTTTTTACATATATATTCGCGGGATAAGTTATTATCACAAGGCATTAATTCATCGTTTATTTGGTTGCTTCCTAAAGTCAAAGACCCTCTCACTTTGGCGGAGTTTAGACCAATTAGTCTCATTGGGTGCGTGTATAAGATTATTGCTAGGGCTGTAAACGAACTGTTCGTGAACCGTTCGGCTGGAAGTTCGTTTATGTTCGTTTATTTAATAAATGAACGAACATGAACACAAATTCTCGTTCGTTTAGTTAAACGAACGAACATGAACAATGCTCTCGTTCGTTCAATTATGTTCGTGAACGTTCATTTATGTTGTTCATTTACATTTGTTTATGTTCATTCATATAAGTTCCTTTTATCTTCATATATGTTTAATTGTGTTTGATTACATTACTATATTATATGCTCATATATGTTTGTTTATCTTTGTTTGTTTATGTTCGTTTGTTTATGTTCGTTTAGCATGTTCACGAACATAAACGAACGAGCATGAACAATGTAATTTGTTAAACGAACGAACATGAACAAAAAAACCCGTTCGGTTAACCGTTCGTGTTCGTTCATTTGTTCGGTTAACTTAAACAAACGAACATGAACAAGCTTCGTTCGTGTTCATTCGGT